TCATCCGCCATCGTATCACGACCAAACATGGATTTATTGACAATTCTTTCAAGCATCTTTGATGCAAACTCGATGGCATCGATGGCGTCTATTACGCAAACTAAATCAGGAGGTAAAATTTTGGGTTTAAATGACTAGTAGGCTTAAATAGTATGCTTAAACGAGCGTAACACTAAACCTATCACGATTCGAATGACCGATTTTTAACTTTTCCTTCAAAATTTTCTCGCTTCACTTCGTAGATCTATGCGTTGACATACCTATAGATTTTTCGACATCTATTTCTCTTCTTATTCCGTTCATTCCGAGACTCGTGCGTAGTTTTCGTCTGTCACGAGTGATCGATCAGATTACCAATCGGGGTACGTTTAGTGTCAATCGATTTTTCTTTCCGATTTTTCAAAATTATCCAAATGTCCATTTGGATAATCCAGAACTAGTTGCAACAGAGCGAATAGGTAGTCTCGTATTTATTTATTTCAGCATTTCTTGACCATGAAACGGACTTGGTTCACGTCTACGATCCTAACCAACACGCGTTCACATATACACACGCCCATCCACCTTCGCTCATATCCAAACTCGGTCCTATTCGCATTTCCCTTCCTCTCTTTTCCATCTCTGCTATAGTTGATCAGCTTTTGCAATCTTTTGCTCAGAATTCCCGAGACAACAATGTCTTCTAAACTATTATATAATTTCACCGTTCTATTAATATACAATCCTTTATGAGATGCTTTATCCTCTTCAGGGACGAATTTTTTTAAGTTAACGTTACAATGATTTAGAAGCAGCATGATTTAGATTATAAAATGGAATAAACCACTATTAGCGGTGATACTCGACGAGCTTTTTTTATTATTAACACTTTGACTGCCACGGTGGTCATTGGTGACCGGAGCGCTTGGACAACATCGAATGAAAATTGACAGTTAGTGCATTTTGAATATAACCGTTAATTAGAAGATACTTTGAAATAAAAAGTGTCCCATTGAACGATTAAAAATTTTTATTAGAATATTAGAAAAATATTAGAACAAATCTCGCATCTAGCGGTGCACTCCCGTGGCGTCCTGAGAGAAACATGTGATTTCGGTGTTGCAGTCAAAGGGTTATTGAGAGATTCTGTGGCGAATAGTTCTCCAACTGGTCCTAATTTTCTTTTCACTTATAGTAATCGTAATTTTAAAGTACTAAATGTACGCATATGTCAGTAGCCCTGAAGAGGTTAATGTACCCCATCCTTACACAGCTCATGCGTCCAATATCTATTCCATATAGCTTTTCGTTAGACCCTGAAGTACCGTTTAATCGGTATAAAGCATTTTAAGTGGAAAAAATTAGAATTTATTGCATCTATTGCATCTATTCTATCCATTGCAGAATCTATTACAGATCTCTAAAATTTGACCGATACTCTAGTTGCTTCTGTAACTTTGTTAGACACACGCCAAGATAAGGTAGAACGATATTTCTATTCGTTTCCGGAGATTCAAATAACTTTGAAAATAGAAAGAATTAACGAAGAAATCGATTATTCTTCGGAACGCGAATAAATTGAAATTCAATATTCGAGCTGCAGATTTAATTGGCCATCGTTTAAAGGCGTTTAGCGAGTCTGTCAGACCTGCATCTGCGGTTACAGTTACGAATTCGTCTAGTCATACGTTAATAAGACGACAGATTGCTTGCGATGATAAAATTAAAACCCTTCAATGACAGTCCAATCCAATGACATAGTTTTCGCGACATCTTTAGGTCACTCGTGTGACGCAATTTCGAGAGTCTAATCGGGGTTCAAATTTTGCACTCTTGCTACAAACCTCTGGCTTCTACTCCACCGTCCTCACTCTGATAAGTTTGCGTCTTTCGTTGCATTTTGATGCCACGATTTTATTGCGCTGCTCCTTACTTTGCACCCTCCGTTCCTTAACCTAATTGTCCCTAGACCATTCGTTGTCTTAAACCTATCTTGTCAAAAATTCTCTTCCCTTTTCCACTTTTCAGGTTTATGCTACTTTCCTCTTTTCCTTCCAGGCACACTTTAACCGTCCACTTCCCTTTTGCCGATTTAACCTTTCCTCGTACGTTATCGCCCTCGCTGCTGACACGTTATTCGTAATTTATCTCTTTTAACTTATTTCAACGTCAGATAACCGAACATACTCTTTTCCAGACCTAGGCACTGCCGTATACAGGGTGTCCCACGTAACACTTTTCACAATTTTGCGAGTATTCGCGATAATTCGACGAAAAGATGTTTTAAGCAGAAGTTGATCAGTTTTCGATTGGCTGTACTTGGTTTATAGTCTCGACGAATCCAACGAGCTAGTGTGACATGGCCTTCGGATGATCTTGAAGGCAAAGAAATAAAAATTTCAACAAAAGTGACAATCAGTATGAATGGGTGATAATAATTTGTGTTTATTATTAACACTCGAATTCAGGAACCTTGAGTAATTGAACAGAAATGATCTCATGGAGAAACTGTCCCAATACAAAGTGTGGGACATTTCAAGTAGTGAATTTGTACAGCATGCAAAGAATTTTGCTACGACAGCATCGTAAGAACCAATACAAACTATTACTGCAAAATGGATTTCAATTCGAATATTAATCAGATCGATGCTAGATTAATCCTATGCAGTCAGAGATCTGCGCGTCTAATAAACAACGACTGCCTTTTTAATAACAAAACAGATTTATTTAAACTAAACTCTCAAATTCACGATTCTCTACTCACTACGTCTCGACTACACGCATTCTGCCTTGCTCGCGCCCTTGCACCCTTATTTAACTCTTTGCGGCACAGGATTTCAGAAAATAAGATAGACCTATGTTACATAGGAATTTGATTACGTCTTAAATGCGACAAAATTGGTATATTTTTACCAATAAAGGAATCACATAATGTGAAAACATAAAACCAGGAAAAAGAGATGCTTGTTCCGCTTGCAACAATTGATGAGGCTATACTGACATGTTGAATGTTGCCAACACAATCGAATGCATTTATAACATTTGTCGAAGGTATCACCAACTGCTTAAATAAGTCGAAATGTAAACCTATGCGCATGCAGCTATTGCAATATTCCCAAGTGGGTCTAAAAGTGTCCCACCATGCATCACGGTGCATCGAAAAGGTGGAACACTTTCAATCCCAGCGTATCCCAAAGAGTTAAAGTCAGACAGTCTCTCTTTTCATACACGAGCTCTCTTCGTTGATCACTCGTTTCCCACGCGACTTCGCCTTTGGTGGACCAGGTGCTTCAGACACTCGGACGCATTCCTAGACTTTCGTTCATTGCTTGCACTCGACTCGGTCATAAATATCTCATCCATGCAATACTTGCACGTGGTCACCTTTCCTTCCGCATGTACTCCAGACATTACTCCGAACTCCTGAGCCGATATTTCTCGTAATACTATTTCCTTTGCTAGAGTCCTGCCCAGCTCGCAGCACCACACATTTGTTACGAATTTTTCACGAAATCGTTTCCGTTCAGTCACTCAGTGTTCTCGAATAACACGTAATTTTGAGTGTTAATAATAAGCACGAGTTATTATCACCCATTCATGCTGATTGGGATCATTTTTTGTTGAAATTTTTATTTCTCTTTCTTCAAGGTCATGCGAAAGCTATGGCACACTGGATCGTTGAATTCGTCTAAATACGAGCTGCAATATTATTAAATCGGAAATATGACGTGTCATTTGGAAAAACGAAAGTGATCTTGACAAATTTTCGTTTAAAATATTTTTTCGTCAGATTATCGCGAGTGCTTGAAAAATCGTGAAAGGCGTTACGTGGGACACCCTGTGTACTTTAATCGAACCGACTTTATTTCCGGCTAGTCTCGAATTATGTTCAAATACGATTAAAACGTTCGCTTCGTCAGTCCTGGATTAAAGATTGGACATCGATTCTTTTCCAATTTCTTTGGGTATTCGTAAGACGTCGAATAACGTCGTTTTAATAAAAATATAGTACGATAAAACGAAAGTATCACACGTAAAATGTATTACCGTCATCGTTTTCATTTTTAGCTGATCATCATATTGCATATGACATTTTTGAGACATAAAAATTCATTTCCTGAAATGAAAAAATATGTATATACAGGGTGTCCCATTTGAAATTTCGCTGTCAATTATTTCCTAAACTATAGTTCGTTTCAAAACATGTTTCAAATGAAACTTACCCTGTTTCGAGGGGTACATTTTATAACGGTGATCAAGTTTTGCTAAGTGGATGTGCTTCCGAGGTTACAAGGTGCCCTTGATCTTTTTCTTAATGGTACTCTATGTATTTTTTTATGTAAACGGATAGTGCAATCCATGGTGGATTCGTTGACCTGTAATACTTTGGTCTTTGAATGCCGTTCAAGGTCATTCAATGGCGTTTAAAGTCTCCATTAACCCTTCGCGATCGGCAGATTTCGCTCAAGATTTTTCCGTACAGGATTTAAAATCAAAATATAAATATTAAAACACAGAATTTTTAATTTGTGTAATTTTCTGTAGTTTTCTGTATTTTTTGACTTGCGAATGTTCTCACTACGGAGACATCGACTGCAAAGGGTTAAACGTTCCTAAAGTTTCGTGCACAATTTTAGAAGAAAACTGTTTCCAACGAAATTCAATCGGTATTTAATGTATTTAATCGGCTGCATATTGAAATACAGAAAATTCCAAAACCTATTTTGTTTCGATAAAAAGTCATGGCCACCTTGGCTTTCTTAAATGGCACCCTGTATTTCTGACTTCGTAGATCATACTATGACCAGATTCAGATAACTAAGGTTTGATCGACAAAAGTGTCCACCACGTAATACTCGAATCACTGGCGAATACCTAAATGAAAAATTCGGAGAGCATTGGTTGGGCACTTGTGAACCCATTAAAAAAAAGAATTAAAAAAAAAAGGAATGGATTTTTTCCTTCTTTAAGTATTTATACGAGCGTATATAGACTGCGAATAAACTCGATGTGGTTTTCAGGCGCTGGCGTCAAGATGGAGCATCTTCAGGCCACCCTGGACCCAAGGAAGCAGGAGTTATTGGAGGCCCGCTTTCTCGGAGCAAGGGTAAGCTATTTCTCGCGTGTATTTTTCTCCTTCCTTTCCCTTCTCTGCATCGTTTGCCTTTCCCTCCATTTCTATCTTTACGTATATATAGTCCCGTGTTATTTCTTTCTTTTTTTCTCGCATGTTTAAGAACAAATATTACGAATCGACTAAATAATCGTATTGTCTGGAAATAAATTCCGCTTCTTAACAACGATCTTTCGAATCTAATCACGCGAGTTTTCTTCGAATGTATGTATTTAATTGGAATAAAAGACGACCCCTTTTATTTCGTTGCCATGATAAACTACGAGATTCTAAATTCGACGAATTTTTTAAAAATGGTCACGTGTCGATCATCGTATCCTGGAAGACATATTATCGTAAATATATTATACTTGGATCTTTTTTTACACGATAGAAGTTTCCCGTGCAAAGAAATCGCGTAATAAAGTTTACGCGAAAATTTATTTATAACAAAATACGAAACTTTTGTTAAAGTAATATAAATTATACGAGTAATTTCTGTGTGCGTTTTACGAGAGACAATGAACAAACGTAGTTCCACTGTACAGTGTACTATCTAATAAAATAAGGATTCGGAAAATAAATATTTTTGCACTTGCGGATTTGTCTGATTTTCCTGATATTTTTAAATACGTATAAAAATAAGTAAAAAGTAAGAAAAATCTAAAAAATGAATTAAGTAAAACGTATGAAAACAGTGTGTACATGCGAATAAAGAATATAAGAGAAAATTGTGTAATTATGAATTATGTAAACGAATATTATGTAAAAAGAGATCCAAGTGGTGCTTTGAAAATTGGCGGGCATTTATTGCCACCATTTCTTGAAACTAGTTTTGGAGAATGAGCTTCCAGCATTGTGTATCTAACAAAGCAAATTTCCCCAATAATAATTGATTTTGATGAAATTTACAAAGGATATAATTTCGAAAAAATATTTCACTCCCTTTTTTTCTTTTCTTATCAATAATCGTCCATTTCTACAAAGTAAAAATAGTTTCCAAAGTTAGGGGATGAAAGTATATAATAGTCATCGATAAATATTGAAAACTATGGAAAAGTTATTGATTTAGAAATATCGTTTAGAAAAATTGTATATTTTTTAATGACAAATTTTACAACGTAAACTACTTTTCAAAATATCAGTTTGTTTAAGAAAAATATATCAAAAGATGATATCTTTTCATTGATTTATGCAGTTATTTTCACATCCTAGATACAGATGTTTGACGATAAAAAAGATACGAATTAAATATTTTTCTTAGAAATAATATCTTCTGCAAATTGTATCAAAATTGTATATTTATTTTTTGGAATTTTTCTTTGCAAAATATACAAACTAGCTTCTCCAAGCTATATGGATAATATAGCATACGATTATTATTTCACTCGTACTTGACGACGAAAGAAGACACTCCAGATTTCCTAGAACATCGATTAAAATTGTTCGAGTCTGAGAGAGAAAATTGGCTAAATTCGGTCTGGAAATTCAGCTAACTTTCAAGGAACCGATGTAGTTCATTAACGTTGCATTACATATTAAATATTCTTTTCATTCTATTTCGAGCTTCTATAAAAAGCGTACCAATTTGCTCCATTTACCTCTTATGAAAGAATAAATTACTATAATAATAATAATTAAAATTCAAATAAATAAGCTCGATATGCGCGTTTTAGGATATCTTATAATAAATGCGAATTAAAAATTCGTTGTATCCAAAACTTTAACCGACAATCTCGAAACCGATATTTATTTCCAGACAACCTAATATATAGCAATAACAGTCACGTAAATAGAGCAACGATGTTTAACCATACGAGGACATTAAAATGTTAGTTTAAATATGAAAATCGGTATAAATTAAAGGTATATTAAGGGTATAATTAAATAGTTTAAAAAATTAGGTACAATTATCGGTACAAATTAACTTTATTTTAGGTAGTAAAACGGGTAAAGATCTACGTATTTATAGAATATTCACGAACTTATGATATTCAGACGAGATGTATTAGCCTGTTTGATTTCGCGCGATAAAATTCGCGAAATGGTAAAAAGAGGGCGAAAAATTGCTATGCCGTAGAGGAAAATTCAGGGTGCGTAGTGATACTTCTTCGAATAACTATACTTGATATTTTCGCAGTCGATAATTTTTTCGGTTGTCTGAAACTTTCATAAAAATTGATAACAATTCTTTCCAAGTTGAAAAAAAGAAGGTAAAGATATAAAAGATGGTTGTCACAGATTTCTATCTTTAAGATAAAAATAAAAATGATAAAATTTGTTTTGAGACATCTGGTTTATAATTAATTGTTTTTCGAAATTATTTTAATAGCGGTCAGAAACAGAATTCGAGATTACGTAAATTTAAGTCAACGGCAATCAGAAAAACGATCGTAAACAAAGTGAATGCAACGACTGCGAATATGTTGAGAAACTATCATTTAGATCATTTAAGCTTCCGATAGTAAAATGAAAATAAAATCGCGTCTATGCGATTTGCAAACGTGGAAGATGAGAATTTATATATATTATTTGCTGCTCGAAGAAACCAGTAAAAATTAGTTACTTTTATTAATGACATTTCGTAGAGAATATTTTATGTGACACTATTGTTCTTTCACGAGAATTACAGCTCGTATTGTGTGGTTAATATTTGTTCACCTGCGTTGGTATATCCCCTATGTTGATTGTCCACCTTTATTGATTTGAGTTTGTCATGATCGATGTATTATTGAATTTATTAATTTCCCTTCTCTTCTTTCACCAATGGAACACCAATTTAATCATTTTGGCTTGTGTGAATATAAAATATCTTATTTTATTGTATAATTATTGTAATTATATTAATTATATTAATTATGTATTATATTAATTATATTATATTACATATAATTATATTAATTAGTATAATTATTATATCCTGTTAACGGCTGTTGCCTTCAAATTTCGTACTTTTCGTAAAGTATGTGGGTCGCTACAATTATTTGAATTTTTTGATCGTCGATGACGTAATAGTAGTAGGACTGCAATTTTGCCACAATAAACTGAAATTTTTCCTTTCAGTTTTGTTACAATAATATAGGAATTATCACAGACAAAAGTAATATGTAAAATAAATCAGTGGTTGTTTTGTCTTCATTGAGTATTTTTCTACTGTTTAGTCTGGGTTTTGTCAGTATTACATTAGGATATATTAATATATGTGCAAATATATTATAAAGACTTAAGATTTATAACTAACTGTATAGAAATAACTTATACCTAGTTCCTAGAAGTAACTAGGCATACTTCAATCACATTCCAATTATCTTTAGACACTGCTGTACAGTAATGTAATTCTTCTGTTCGTCTTATCTATCGTCTGGGAAAGTTATGAATACTTCCTCTTTGTAATTGTTTTAATTGTAGCTAATTAAGGATAAAAAATGAAAAGTGCCATGCAAGTAGAAGTTTTTGTTATTTCTTCGAGAAACATGACAACAAAATATTTTCTTACTTCATATAAAAGTATTTTTATCAATTTTTGATCGCTATTCAGTGATTATCAATTAGTTATCATGTTCCAACTATTTTTGAGATAATTTGTAGCCTAACAACATCGATTGTTTCTTCAGAATTATTTTTCGTAGTAGAATTAGGAAAGAAGTGGTACATTTTTATTAATTAATTAATATATCTTCATATTTATCGAGTATATTTGGATAATAAATTTTTGCACTCGTTCGGATAAATATTAATTTAACTACTGATTACGATACTATATTTTAGTCATTCAGATTTTATGTAAAGAAGCGCCATTGCATCTGCGCAGTGACATGCGCACTACACGTGCGCACTGAATGTGCGTAGTGATCAGTGCGTTTGGATACTGCAACACTTCTCGGTTTTACTGGTATTTAGTATAATATAAAAGAGACGTTTATCTTTCAAATATTGACAATTTTTTTCTGGACTACTAAACTAAACTATATTACAAAAATACTATTAATAACACTATTAACAGTTGTACCAACGTTTCGATAAATTTGACAATGAACTGATTCCTTATTAATTTCGGTAACCTTAAAATATATTGTAAATGGTAACATTTTAAGCAATTTCTTCTCCATATACAGTTAGTCTCAGCCAAAATCGTACATCACGCATGACAAGATGTTCCATTAAAAAAAAAAAAAAAAAAAAAAAAAAAAAAATAAATTATTTGAAAATGGTTTGAAAAAGAAGCGAAGTAGATATGTATTGGAAATAAATCTACATTTATTATGTAATAGTTTTGAAACAAATGGACATTGCTGAATATGAAAAGAATTGAAGGTATTATAATACTATAAGTTACTATAATATAATTTTTACCCATAGTTCAGTCACACATATATTTAGTAGACGAGATTAATTCTGTTGCCAGACTAAATATATTTTTCCAACAGTGTCCCATTTAAGTTAACACAGTGAAAAACCTCCTAGATAGATGATTTAAAGAAAATAATCTACCTTTTACTATTTAGAATTACAAAATGTAAAAACACTAAATACTAAAAGATAAACTAAAATTCTAGAAAGCAGCTTATTTTGTTTAAATCAATTGTTTATGAGATTTTTTGTTGCGTCAACTGAAATGGGACAACCTGTATATCATACAAATTTTCTTGTTCAAAATATTGACCTGTGCAATATACTCCAAGGTCATTAAAATTGGCGAGGAATTAATTCATCGACAAATTAATTCGAACCAATAAATAAAAAAATTTGTGTAATAGGATATTTACTTTCTTTTTAATAAGTGCATGTATATTTTACACACTTTTTGAAAACGTACAGGACATTCGAACCCTTTCACATTAAACAATACGAGATAACCAAAACACAATCGCGCCGCCTGGCGTCATACAGCCGAAACCGAAACAAGCGCAATACACTACTTCGCACTTCTTGATAAAATTTTACCAATGACTCTGTCATTCAAACGGTTAATATTGAAAGTCTTGTTAAAATTG